TATCCATTAAAATGGAATCTAGAAAAATTAAAACAGAAAACAGTGAATTTGGAAATTTATATGGCCCTACGTAAAGGCCTGTCCAAGCATCCAAACCCGAGACAGCTAAAGGCATTACAATGTACAGCATCCGCTTGCATTAAAGAGAAAGAACACAAAGGTTGAGTTCAACAGTGAACTTTACATTGATCAATTATTTAAAGAAAGTAGACCAACCAGCATGCAAACAAGAGCAGTGCAAAACATCTCCCATGTGCATGTCCTGGAATAAACCTGCTGTGAGGCAGTTGATGAAGGCATAATACTGAAACCCTACATTACCTATGGGGATGTGTTTTCCCTAATGCTTCCATTTCAAAGGACAGAAATATTGCTGAAAGCCTCTGATTACTCTGGGGCATGGAGAAGCATTACTGAAATGGAAAGCTCGCTGGGCAAGGGAAGCGCAGTCAGCAAATCTGCTCTCATCTACCATGCAGACTGCATTCACTGATTATCAGAGAGCTTTGCACCATCAGGGTCAAAAGGTCACACTAGTGCACTATATTACATCCATCAGTCAAAATAAACAAATGTGAGCACCGAAAAAAATAGGAACTCGAGCACACAAGTACATAGTGGTTCAGCACATTGAGGTTCAGCACTGTATTCGTGCTGTGATCCAAGTGTCTGGAATACTCAGTTATCCAGCCATCCATTTGGCTGATGTACGCAAGCTCACATTCCACTGCTCTTACATAAGAGGATGAGAGACGGCCTGTGTCTGCTGCGGGGAAACTGTTAGTCCTGCGTCAGTGTGCTCGGCGGAGCAAGGAACCAGCCAGCCATCAAGGTCTTTCAGGGCCAGTGGAAAAGAAGTGTGGGCAGAGTCTAACACAACAGTGCAATAAAAATAAAACCATTCAGAGGAATGGCCTTGACAACACAAAAACGAAAATGATACCTTCCAAAGTCGTACAGCTTGTTGAAGAGAGATGAGTTATTACTTGGCTACACAATCTGACACCAGACCTGGCGAGGAAAACAAATCCCATAGACTCTAATTAAAGGTGGGACCAGAGATATATCGAGGGACAAGAATATCAGAGACTTGGGATCTTGGATTTGTTTGACTTGCCCAGTATGCAACACCCTAGCAGAACACACTAGCCACTAGAAATTATATTCTATAATATTTGTATTGCCAGGTCTGCATCTGCCAGAGCCAAAGCTTCCTTTGTTAAACGTATAAGCCAAAATTAGCCAAAATTTGGAGACTGTAAGAATTTTTGCTGTTTGTTTTTTTGTTTTTTTTGAGTAAATTAATACTTTTATTCAGCAAGGACACATTCAACTCATCAAAAGTGACAGTAGACCATTTAAAATATTAAAAATAAAATTATACTTCAAATAAATGTTCTTTCTGTTCTTTTGAACTTCATATTCATCAAACAATCCTGAAATGATCATAAGAAATGTTTAAGCACCTAATCAGCACATTTGAATGATTTCTGAAGGATCATGTGACACTGAAAACCGGAGTAATGATGCTGAAAACTCAGCTTTGCCATCACTGGAATAAATTACATTTAAACACATTCAAATAGATAACAGTTCATTTAAATTGTAAAAGTAAATTGAAATCAAATAAATGCAGCCTTTGTGAGAATAAGAGAATTCTTTCAAAAATATTTCCCACAGACCGCAAGCTTTTGAAAAGTAGTGAATGCATATCAGACCATAAAAACGTAATAAACAAGGTATTGTCTACCATTCCCACCAGAACTTTCACCAATTGTGTAATAAAACATAATATAGGCCTAACTCTAAAACTAAATCAAACACAAGGAACACTCCATACCATGCAATAAAACCACATAAACTGTCACTATAATTCAAAGCAAGCAACTGACATTCAGAAGTCAAACCCCCATGAAACATTTCCCAAGCTATTCCATCAGCTCTAGAAAGCATGAATCAAAGTGTTGTTAAAATAAGTAACTGGCTGCAGCAGTTATTTCTTACATAAGAAAAAAATTGCAGCAATAGAGGCATCAATTTTCAAAGAACACCAGACCCTTGTATAAGCATCCAAGAAGTAAAACTCAGGGTGTACATTGTGTACTGCAGTCTGCCCCCATTCTTTCCTTTTAAGTGTGCATTTCTTTTAATATTTCTCTCTGCTTCTTTGAGTGCTGGAAGACATATTTAACTCTGCAAGTGACTTCCTGTGTGTTGTCAACACGCATGCACAGACATTACAGCCTCTGTCGTACTTTCTCTCTCTCTCTCTCTGTGCTTGGAGAAACTGCTTTGAGGAAACCGAAAAGCAGAACAGCCCAGCATGGGCGACATATGATAAAAATAGCCACTGCGAGTACCTCTTCCGCAACAACCACAAAACGTTAGGACCAAAAGACCTCAAATATCATCAGTTGGGCTGTCCAAAGAAAACTAGATGTGACAAATGGAACTAGTTTGACTAACGAAAAGAACAAAAAAAATATGTGGGTGACAAACTAACAAGTCTGGTTACTTTCAGTTACACTGTTTTTTGAGGGTACGCAGGTGTGGGCAATAGAACATTCGGGTCTAAACATACACAGTCAGCTTGTTCTTGTTCTCGCCGAGAACATTGGCGTGTATTGTTAGTGGGAAGAGAGTGTAACTCAGTGGCCAACAGCCAATCAGCAGAGGAAGACCTGTGATCGAGTGCTGCGCAACCACAGGCTTGTCAATGCCCCCTCACGGGGCCACAAGTGCTGTTGTGCAACACTCCGGCGTTCAGGCCGAGTGCTGTGGTGAATCACTCGTGACATACAGCTGCCTGGTGGCTGGGCGACTGTGGGCTGCCTGACCAGATCTCTCATGCGCTCTTCTGTTAAATATTCAAGAGCGGCAACCTTCTATCGCAGGCATGAATATTCAGTGTGTCTAATTTGTGAGCAGACCCAGCTCTTCGCCGGAGTCATGGATGCTTTCTTCTCCAGCTCAAATCCAGACGCTTCATAAACTGAGATTATGCGTGTCACAGATAAGCAGATAAAAATGCATTTGCAAAAAAAGACAGTCTGGCTGAATGATCCCTAATTTCTGAAACCATCCAGACCGTGCAGTTGAAAATTCAGCTTTGTTTTTGAAGGTCAGTGTAGAGGAATGCATAAATAAACAGAATCAATAAAGGAAGGGAGGTACAGAAAAAAAAATTATGATAATGTTTGTTTTTCAAGTGGCATGTGACATCCTCAGGAGACAATGCTAGTACACCACACTGTGTTACACAATTCAACAAGGCTTCCAGCAGACAAAACCTGACATTACAAATTAAGAGGTTTTCATGTATAGTTTCCCAGTATGTAATATGGCCACTGGCCCAACACAACCACAGAATGAACGCACAGGCCTTTACTGGCAGGACGAAACACAATCAATGCTAGAAAATAAATCCACAAATACAGATCCACTGATATTAAAATTCTGGCCAATACCTAGGAGATGATAATTATTTTCATGTTACAACTGATAACTAATAAGTGTCATATTTTCTAAATAAACTTAAAATTAATTTGTTTAAATTCAAAAAGAGAATTTAGGAATCATAAAATAATGTACAGTATGAAAAAATTGATAATCAATACTTTGATGCTAATAATTACATTTAATAAAGTTATTCTAAATTATTAAGGGGCCCCTAAAGGGTCATGGTAATGGGAAACAAAAATATGAGAAGAGGAAAAATTGTATTACATATTAAGGTTTTTGCGTTTACCTGTGAAACCTTGAATTTGCTTACAAAACTGGGGATGGAAATAATAATAGGTGGGTGGAAAGAATATATTGCAATGCTTTTGAGAGTGACTGCAAAGTTTTGCAAATGAACGCAACGTTTCAAAGGGGAATGGCAAAGGTTTTGCGAACGAATACAAGAGCATTGAAATATAACTTTTCCTCCCATGTTATTTTTTTTCCATCACCATATCCCTTTAGGCATTCCACCTGGGAAACTTTATCCACAATTAACAATTTCCTGTTTACCATTTCGTTTCATTTCTTGAAACCTGAGAATCATATAACTGAAACTGACGCCGCATAAAAAAGCCACAAAGAAGCAAAAGTAGAAATGCACAGCAATTCATAAAGCATGATTATGGCATATATAACCAATATATGGCATGTATTCTAAATAAATAGAAAAATGTAAATAAACAACATTATAATGCAAAGTATGAAAAAATAGACATTAATTTTAAGATTTGTTAAAGATTACGTTTACAGTGTTTCTCAATTTTCAGTGTTGTTCAATTATCAATGTTTTTTTTTAATTAACTTTGGTAAGCGTAATATATGCGCAAAACTATTAAGTCGCACAATTAAACATCTAATACTGACCTATATGGGGGGAAAAATACAATATACTACCTATATAGTACCTAATATATATCTCTAAACAAAATTACATTTTACGTTCTAATTAATGACAATTGTGTTCCCAAACCTCAGAATCCTCATCTACAATTGAAAACCTCCTGTTTAGCCATTCCTTCCAAACTCTGAAACTTGAAAATCACATAACCAAAACTAACGCCACAGAAAATTCCAGTCAAAGACATGCGATTCCAGAGAAAATTATTTACGCCCAAGATGCCTACTTTCTGCCATGACGATATAAAACCATTTGAAATACTAAGTACTCTTTTGGGGAAGGTTCAGTGCAAAAAAAATGACAGCTGCAGAGAACAAAAGAGCCGCTCCAATGAGGCCCCTCAGGAAACTCTAGTCTAACCTTAATAAGCTGAACGTTAATTAGATGCCAAAGTGGCACTTCAAACGCTCCAGTTAATTTTTGGAGCAGCACATGAAGCGGAGGAACAGAGTGCTTGCTAATACATGAATGAGGGGGATATGGATGAAACAGATATGGGAGAAAGAGGTTTAACTCATTTATGATTAGCATAATCTGACCCAGAACTGGCAAGCTGAGGACATTCAAATGTTTTTACCTGATAAAAAAAAAATCTTACCCTCTATGCTCAGTTCAAAGCACACATGGCAGAAGGAAAGCGTTCCTGTGTCCGTCTCTAGTTTACAGATGCTGCAGATGTTGTCATCGTTCAAGTCTATGTTCACAAAGTGCTCCTCTTCCTCCATGGTGTTTCTGCAAAGCAAACAGAACAAAGAGTTACTCAATAAATTTTAATCTCACTGAAGCTTCTCTTGATATTGATACATATGCAACGGACAATCAATAGCTACCAACCAGATCCCTTAATCACGCTTCAATCATGACATTTTTACTTCTGTATAAATCTGTGATTCAAAATTAAGTTCCCAGGAAAAGATTAACACATAAGCAAGAATGCAGCGAAGGTTTTTGCCCCATATAAACAATGCTATATCAAGATAAGGAGAAAAAACATGCACAGACACAATCAGATTAACAAAACAGATGAGAAAACAACGGTTGTTAGAAGCTGCTGTACTTCTGCAATTTATTATGGCCAGTTTTACAACAGTCTCATTCTTGGGACCCACTTGGATTCTTATGAAGCCAGTGTTTACACAACTAAATTACCTTTGCTCAAGTCTTACATAATGCCCCCTTCCAGAATGTCACAGCCTGTTGAGTGGCCAAATTCAGTTACAATATGGAGATAGTCAAAAGTCTTTCCATCACAGCCAAACCACTATCTTCTACTGCATAAAACTATTTCATACTGTAAACAAATCCAGAAAAAATAAAACTAATATTTAAAAAAATTATATAAAATTTAAAATGTGTGTGTGTGTGTTGTGTTTGTGTGTGTATAGGCTACACAATTTTATAAAAGTATATATAAATATAATTTGTTGCAACTTTTTTTCCACTCACAATTCTGAAAATCTGAATTGTGAAATATAAAATCACAATTGCAAGAAAACAAAGTCAAAATTTTGACATGACCATCTTTAGTATGTGGCGAAGAAAAAACATTTACAGAATTACTGAATGTAAATTCGGAGGAAAAAAATCTGAACTGCAAGATATAAACACAGAATTCTATTTTTTCTCTCAATTCCAAGTTGAGCTGACATCTTCGTCAGAATTGCAAGTTTATCATTTTTAAATTGCAAGTTTTTTTTTTCTCAGAATTGCAATAAACGTCAGAATTGTGAGATAAAGCCACAACTAGCTGTTTTATTTATTGATTTTTTTTATTCAGTAGCAGACGTGGGCTTCAATATTATAGTTATACATTTTAGTAATATTTATTCAATTAAGTGTTTTAGAGCAGAACATAACAATTAAGTTCACTTCAGACACTTCCACAACTTTTAAGATTTAAACACCTCCAATGACTTTTCCCAAGCCTTTAAAATTCCCTGGTATTTTCCCATACTTTGGGACGCCTCTATAAACAAATTTAAACAAAATGCCATCTTTTCAACAGGTCCAAAAAAGCTTAAAAAAAAAAAAGACTAATGATCCCCTTTTAAATACTGTTTCCTTGAGATCAAATTCTTCTTTATAGTTCTTTGTTTATATCACAAACAGATGAAACAGAACAGTTCGAAACTGTCAAGCATGGGCTCATGTTGAACTCCATCTGATTATGAAAGTCTTTAAACTGAATAACAACCTAAGAACAAGCCAGTGTGGTTCTGTCTCAAAACTTAGTGTGCTGCATAGTCAGCTCAAAGTGCTGCACGTGCAAATGATGACCACAAATGTTGTCTAGTTAGTCAGCATACTACGCTATGAGACACAGCCAGTGTGATTATTTACTTAAGGTAATTGGTTCATGTAGTCCTAAAATTACAGAACATTTTGTGAATATTTGTATTCATGTCATTTGTTAATTGCTGCAAGTAAACGTTACACATCACTTTAACTAAAAACCAACATATTAGTTGGACCAAACCAAAGCTTGATGTGTAGATTTAACATTTAAACAATCAACAAAAAGATACCAACATATTTTAGGTGGCTTTCATACCAGTTTAAAGTATAAAAGTTAACTTTATTTGGTAAGACAGAGCATCATAATCAGATTACAGTGGACAGAAGTTAACCTAACAACAACAAAGCTTGAGGATTTTCACTACTTAAACACACACATTTTAATATACCTGTTGACCGAAAGACTTATTAACACAATATTAGATGACAAAATACTTAAAATACCAGTTTTCAAGACATTTCGTGTTGAAATATAACGACACCGCCAGCCGAAAGAACAGTGTAGACCCGTTATCTAGCTGTGTACATATTTCTCAGAATAATAAAAAAAATCCCCTGAAAACGTCACCTTCTCGAAAAAACAGACGACACCTACAGACGTTATCGACGTTTATTACCTTATTCTTTACGTTGTCAGAAGAAATTTCGGCACAATCCAGAGAGAAACACAGGGAAATTGGCTGACCTTACAGGTAAGCCACGCTGGTAGAACGGCGGGTGTTGTTATTGAAGCGGACTGCAAGCAGCTACAAGTACAGCAATGACAAAGAACACGCTAACAGAAGCCACTCATGCCACTCTAGTAATCCCGCCATGTTCAATCACGTGCTATGGATTCGCGCCTCTGATTGGTTCTTTGATTTTGTTTGCGCTTGGCACGCTGTTAGCAATACGTACTATTGTACTCTGTCCACCAAGAGAGTGGATAGGCTAGTCAATACCTTCATTCATTTAGAGAGGGTGGGTGAGGGTAAAATTTATTTCATCATGATTCATTACTTTATGAAGGGAATTATATTTTTTGTATAGATTGACTTTAGATATTTGTTAATTACCTACTCGATTTTACTCAACATAGACTTAGGTACAGCCTTCACTTGACAGTGAGTTACTGAAAAAAGCACACATAATTTAAATTATATAACGATTATACACTGTATACAAAGTATAGAATTCAAAGAGTGCTGTCATTCATTATATAACTATTAGAACAGACTATGCGAGAGATGCAAAGCAGAATCTCAGTGACTACGCTCCACTTTTACAGTTGTTTTAGATCAGCTTTGTTCCGTTTCTTGCCAAGTTTGATGTTTTAGATTCTTTTTTAAGTATTTTCGCTCGTGGACAAAAATATACGAGTTAGTCACTTTTTGTCTGAAACATAACTTTCTCACTATTAATTAATTGTCTTAGAACTGTTGTATAAAGCGATATAAAATTATGATTTTAAATGTATTTTTATTTTATTTCTACACATTCCAAAATTTCCAAGACTGCTATTATTATTAATTTTATTTTACTTTATTTTATGACATTATGTACTCATTAAAGATTTGCATAATGCAGCTCAAATGTTCAAGCAAAGAAAGAAGGCATAACTTTATTGTTGCTGCCGCCGCCACCATGTTGTGAAAATGCTGTGTGTTTTGTTGCGAAAGCGAAACTACTTTGTTTGGCCTTCCAAAAGAGGCCACAACTAGAAATCAGTGGTTAAGTTGTATTTACAACACTGTTCCAGAACAGTTTAACCCAAATATTCAGATGTGTGCAGCACATTTTATGGAGAACTGTTTCCTGATCCTGGTAGAGTAGACTACAATGCCGGCTGTTCTGACTCACAGACTGTAGGTAGGTTTTCATATTTAAAGGATTTGCCACTGATGATTCAAACGTGAGTTTAATAATGTTATTTTTAGCAGCATCATATGACCCCTTTAATGAAGAACACAATCTGGCCTCGAGCATTTGCGCACGCGGGGAATTCCAGAAAGGAATTTTCTTTCTCCGCATCACGTCAAAGCGACTCGCTTCTATTGCTTTCGATTCTCCGTCTCTCTATCCTTCCGTCGAAGTCTGTGAAGTTAAATACCGGTACTTACATAACTGAAATGGCACTAGAAACAGCGCTACACATGCCTTTATGTGAATGTCTAAGCAAGACAGCTATTCTGCTGAGGATCCCATTATTGTCACTCTATTCTGCTTTGATATAAAAAGAAATGGCTTGTGCTTTCATCATGTGCCAGTTTCCATGGGCCCTCATTTGGCACTCTGCGTCTCTGTCATCCTCATAGACAGACTGTCTGTGAGTGAGTGAGTGAGTGAATGAGTGCTCATGCCAAAATCTCCCGCTGCATTCAGAGACTCCTTTTTTACTGGAGTCATTCTGGCAAATCATTTGAGCAATACAGCTATTAGGAGCACATTTAAAAGATAAAAGAGACTCTTTTCTTTGTTGAACATGTAGTCACTTCCTATACTGTCTTTTTGTTTTTGATTGAGGTAGACTCACTTTTCAAATCTCTTGTTTAATTAGGAGCCTGATACAAATGTGACAGATTCATTAAGCAACATGAGCAATTTTTGGTAATGCTATTGATAAGGCTTAGTCTGTATTTCCTTTATTTGTCAGTGTTGTCCATTTATTTGTTTGTTCATTCATTCACTCACTCATTTTTTTGTTACATTTTAAGTTTTGTGCATATGCTCCTTACCGCACGCATTATGATAGACCTATAGAAAAAAATATTTGAATCTTTTTCTTTTCTAAGAATGGCTTAACTTGAAGTGCTGTAAAAAAAATTTTGGAAATTAATGTTCCACTGTTTAAAAAGCATAATTTCTTTAAATAAAAACAATGTAGCCACTTCCTGCAGTCATAAACAGAGCTTGAGCACCAACCTCTGGCCATATAAGATACTGCAACATTTACTCATATTACTCAACATTATTCACATACAGTATATTGTAATCTGACAGCTGCCATAACACGTGACCGCAGCTATAACCACTATGATCGTATATTCACATAGATATTCACTTTTTTCCTATTCAGTATTGGATATTTGGTAACATCCGTGCATGTGACAGTATGTCTTACATGCGATGTCTTGTTTCCTATTTTAAATTTCCTATTTTAAAAATGTCTTCTCCTTGTGTAATTATTATGCATGCTATTTTATGACCCCCATATTAATTTTAAGACTATATAGAATAGAAGTAGGCTACTGTATTATTATTTTTAACGCCACGGCCCACAGCACTATTTAAATACTTCAATAAATCTAAAAGGGGATTATGGAGAAAAGCTTCTGACTAGTTAGACGCCATATGAGGCTGTGAGGGAAAGATTTACAGTCTTTACAATGGCACGCACTGCCAACTTTTCACAACTCAACTTTAAAAGCTGGAGATTACGTTAAACAATAGTACAATCCATTGAACGCACTGTACTTCTGTCCCTCACAGCCTCGTTTTCATTCAGGTCAAAAAAATAAATATGGCGCTTCCCTGACTAAGTTCTACAGCACCTAAAATATACACATCCCATTAACATACATTTTTTGTGAAAATCTAGATGTTAAAAAAGTTTGCTATTTCTTTGCAGGCATTTCGTTAACAAAGGCACATAAAAAGCTTTTGAAGCAGAAAGATCTTGCAATTAAATTAGGCTAGTAATCGATTATTACAACAAATAACATCTTATTTTGACAAACAGAAACTTGTAATGTAATCCCACAGGACAGTATTTCAAAATGCACAAACTACAAAGCTCAAAGAAAAACAGAATGTTCTTATGAAGTTGCACATTTACTTCTATTTTTCCACAAGGTGGGGCAGAGTGGGAGAGGAGAACATCGGGTTGATTCATTTGTCTATTCAAGGTCAAGGAAGAAGAATGCAGTTCAAGTCAGATCTTGCACTCAAGACATCCTCAAGGAAACACCTGTGTTCAAGGCTTCACAGTCTATTACTCGCCCTGACATCACCCATTTCAGAAGCTTGTTTTAACAATTAGCTTTTCTTTAATTGAATTTCATAATTTCTGTTGTATTGAGAACAAAATCCTCGCGTTATACTGACTCTCATAACCACCAGATGATGTTCAAAGAGCAATGAAGTCTTATTTGATACAATTTTAATCTTTTCTAATGCTTAAATCTGATGACATTTCTTGACCTTCAACTGAAAAGACAGTTTTATGCAACAAGTGCGACCTGGGCCACAAACGGTAGCATAGATTAGGGGAACAATAACTATTCAGCTCTTTCCTGTTTGCAGAGCTAGTCAATGAGTAACTTTTCATGAGATCAACCGAGTGCAACTGTGAGTGTGTGCCGCATATGTCTGACAGCAGCTCATAAATCAGTGAATTCATCAGCTTTCCGCAAGCACTGGTTCTGCAATCCGCTGAGTGATGTTTGTACATGTCCGCGTGTGTACGCATGCACGTTCAAACCTGTCGCTGCACTTTGAAACATCATCATCTCACGACCCGTCAGACGAGTCATACCAGATAAGAAGAAAAAAAGTGGAAGAGGCTTAAAAAGTGTCTTTTTAAGACAATGAGGTGGTGGCAGTGCGTGTCACACACATACGAACAGTAAGCCATTGTTTTAGGTCTGTTGTTTTCCCTGTGATGGACGTTGCAGACTTCCTGACATTAAAAACAAGTCTATTTCTTCGGCTGTAAGTACATTTATGGAGCACATTCAGTTAATTCAAATAAAGGTCACAATTTAGGAGTTTTGGGAAAAATAAGATAATTAAGACTGAAGAATATCAATATTCACAGCCAAAAATGCAAACAGACAAGATATTTCATGTATGTGATGCACTTTAATTTTCCATCAAATATAAAAGTGTGCAAAATATAAAACTGTGCAAACACTATGGATAAATGAGAGATATCTTTTTTGTGTACAAAAGGGAAATGACAAGGCAGCTTTATCAACTTATTACAAAAGTCAAGGTAAAACCTGAAAAAGGTGTTGGTGTTGGATTACCGACTGGTTTGCTACAGAAGATTTCGTTTATACAGATGCAGATGCATGGATGCTAACAACAACACAGAATCACATCCAAAAGACCCAGCGTTCAACAGCAGTTTAAAGACCTAGCAATTAAGAGGCTGTCTGTTCCAGACAGTGAAGGGTAATGACGGCTATGCCCCCCTTGGCATAAAACAGGGCTCTGCGCAATGGTTTTACAGAGCGATGAAAAGATAAAGTGGTCTTAGGAATGAGCCAATGGCCTGAACATGAGGGTACATGGGATACAGCCCTCCCCCCATATGTCTACCCACACCTGTGATCCTCCTGAGGGCACATTCCCATGGAACGAGCCAAATGGCTCTATAAATGCACATCTCTTTTTGAGTAAACCATTTTAATTATATAATTGGCCTCAGAGCATTGCCATTTCTGTTTAAATTATAGCTTTGAAGTGCAATATTAAGCTGATATAGGGTAAGCTTATTCTAATAATATGCTACAACAGAAATGTCTAAACAATTATGGGGTTGCTTGCACTGCATCAATCACCACTGCACTCTGGTAACAAGAAGAAGAAAACGATGAAATCAAAGACATACAGTACATCAAAAAAAAAAAGTGAAGTGAAATAAAGTACAATATCCAGGCTCTATCTACAGTACCTATATATATACACACACATAAATGCATTTCCAATCACAAAATAACTCTATTATTAAGGAGGAAAGCCAATGAGAGCCCAAACCCTGGAGGAAATATCTGTCAATATTCTGA